ATGCATTTATTTCTCTGCAGTGAGTCATGCTATAATGATCTAATTTGTAGCTCAGGGCCAGGTTAGGCTGAGTGTTGTGCAAATACAAAGTATTTTATTTCTCAAAAGATGTGGAAGGTACTTTCTCTCTGTTACTTGGTAACAAAAGAAGTTATGACATTTTTGACTAAGTGGGATCCAAAGCTTCCAGTTGTATTTGAAAACTAAATTCGTAATGTTATAGAGAGAAAAAAAGGCACGAAGAATCAAGAATCATCAGGTGAGATCTAAGATCCCAATAGGATGAAAAAAGTTAAGATTAGATGAGGTTAGATTACCATCAAAATAATACTTGCATTTCATTCTCCCCTCCATGACTCTTTCCCAGAATTAAGAAGATATTCATTGTTGTTCCTTTGGTGTTGGGATTGCCTGATTTTGAACAAAAACAGTAACGTAATTGTATTGATTATTATTATTATTGACATTCTGTTTCTGAGCTTCAAGCACATGTCTAGAGTTTAATCCCAATGACTAGACTGAAGCTTCAGGCAGCGCAGCCAGCAATGCAAAGCCCAGGTTAATTAACAGTGCTAAACTTAGCCTGGGCAGTATTTTCAGAGCAGGGAGAGTTTGGTTCATGTGGGAAGAAGGGCGCTAGAAATTACATGGCTCCATTCAATGAGCTAAGTTGACACAGATATCTTAGGGCTTCCTAGGACTGTGGTTTTCGGTGGTGGAAGGATAAAGCAACATTAGTGGTGGAGATCAAGTCAAGGACCCAGGGAATGGCTCTGGCTCTCACAGAGACTTGTTTGTTTGTGCTTATGGAAAGAGTAGCGAGTATAGTGTGAAACAGAGGCATGAAGAGCATTTGTAGCGAGCTTGAATAAGCAATTTCACCGCAGGTTGCCTTCTGTCATCTTGYTGAATGGACACAGCTGCTGTTTYCCCTAGGAAAGTGCAGTGGGTTTTCCTTTCCCTTCCTTTGGCTGGGAATGTGCRGTTGAAATTTTTTCTTTCTCCTTTCTGTATTCACTTACTTTTCACAAGTGTCATTGGCTCGGGGCTATATCAGGCTAAACAGCTGTGTTGGGTTCCTTTGTGGTTCCCAGACTCCCATTGCTAGGGGCTGGAGTCAAGAATTGGCTGCTTTAAGAGCTGTGACCTTATGCTTTTGTTTTAAGCCACGTTACTCTTTTTATCATAATAAAAAATTTAAAACTCCCTCAGACAGCAATAGTCCCTTTTGGTAACGTTATCCTAAATGAAGAAATTTCATTAGMTTACCCATTCTGCCCCATTTTCATTATGATTTCCAGTCACGTCAGTCATGGTGACTCTTCAAAGAAAGAGGCTGAACTGTACATCAGATATGACTTCATTTTCATTCTTATACAGCAAAACATAAATTCTAACAGGTCCACTAGTCATTTCTATTGATTTGGTACTTAATCATATGAACACAATGAATATTCAGTGCCTGTATGATATAAAAAGAACAATCAGAATAAGCTATTATAGGTGCTGGAATCTCATTTAAAATCTAATTAGATCTAGTACAAAACTAGAGGAGCCCTGTCTGAGTATGAAGAAATGGATGTGTCTATATAAGGAGTGAGATGTCGTCTTGTTTCACCCATCTCCTGGCATGTATTAAGAAACTACCATTTTTCTCACTTAGAAAACCATTACTCTGTCTAGCTCAGAAAATGTCTGATACCCTTGGACTTTAATTTAGAYATTAAAGATATTCATTCCATTCTGCCTTCCTGTACACTACTTTACACAAGGTATGGCTTTAGTCGAAGTGTTAGGGGTGGTCACTGCAGGTCAAGCAGGAATTATTTTGTAGCCATGCTTGTTTGATAACTCTGACTAGCCTAAAACCTTAGGACTGGCTTGTCCGTGCTAATGGACCAGAGTGCTCACTAACTGGAGAAAATTCCACTTCCCCAGCATTAGAGTCAGGCAGCAAGATCATAGCATCAAGTGCAACTTCTGTTCCGTGCTGATGTCTCACTTCAGTGAGGTATTTAAGTACTTGCTTAACTTGGAAGTACAAGAGCAGTCCTGCTGAAATCTGTCGGGTTACCAGAGCTCACAGAGGTCAAGGCCCACACGGCCAAACTGTCTTTCTTACTAATCTGAGCACATTTAAATTTAATGAAGAGTGCTTTATTCTTCCAGAACCTTGCTCATGTAGGCCTGAAGGTGGACATCCCACCGAGTTAAGTGCACGTGGCCTCTGCATGTTTTCATGCCTGTTGCTAGCCCGCTGTGCCCAAGCTCTTATCTGATTTGAGCTTTTGCTCCACTCTGATAAAGCTGAAAACCAAACATCTGCRTCTCTGTTGTGCTGAACCTGAGCAACAGAGCCTCACTGAGCTTGGCTTCAGCATCTCATCAGATATAGTCACCTGGTGGACTCTAGGCTAGGAGATTGTAGGCTCTTCTAGCTCTAGGTTAGAAGAATCACTGCAGTAAGGAGAGTGTTCACCAGGGTATCCCCTACTGCATCTCCCAAATTACATGTGGGTGCCCCTTTCCTAGCAGCATTCGGCTTCTCCCTTGACAGCAGGGCTATAGGGAAATGACTCCTCAAATGTGCTAGAGCTCAGACAGACACCCGCAAACTGAGATATCACAACAATTCCCAGTGAATTCGGAGACCCTTTGTGTGCAAAGTTATGGATGTGCCTGCAGTGCAATGAGGAAAGCAGAGATACACAAAGCTTTGAATCACCAACAAGTCAAGGCTATTGCTTACCTGTAGAATAAATGAAGACCTCTTTCCCATAGTTTTGTTCACCTATATCTCTTATTCCAGTCAACAGCAGCATAAACAGGTTCACTTCTGATATAGACATTGCACCATACCATGAAATCAGATGGTATTTGCACCCTGCACAAATGAGGCTCTGCTAGCAGTTCTTTTATAGTAAAATAAGCAGGAGGTAGGAAAATCCTATCCCATATTTAAAGTTTACTTAAGGCATCAATCTTTGGAGGAAAAAAAAGAGAGAGACTTGCAGGCTGTAATTTAAAATATATCTGTTCCACCTCCTAAATTAGGACAGAGCCATTTACAGATAGAGATGTAGCTCCATCCATGTGTTATACATACTGCATGACTTAGTAAAAGTGGATGATAATTTGGTTCACCATTAATATTTTGCAGGAGAATGGATACCATGAATATATGTGTGTGTGTGTGTATGTGTGTGTGTGTGTGTGTATATATATATATGTAAATGCAAGTGAATATATTTTTTTTTTCATAGCAGATACTGCCTGACAATTTTACTTTGCCTCAGGGGCAAATGAAGAATAGAGTCAAGGAAAATAAACACCTTTCAGCTAACTGTATTCTGCAAATAGGACATGGCTTTTTGTCTTCAGGGTATATCTTTCTATTAAAGTTGTGCCAGCAAAGTGATTCTGTCATTTAATGCCTGTTTTAGTTTCTCTTGTGCTTTTCTTGGTGAAACAAAGTGTTTGCAAGAGTGGGTTCAACCAGCTGTGTAAGATTATTGATATTCTTCCTCTCTTTTGCTTGTTTACTTTTCTCTTTTTCTTATTTTTGAATCAGAGGTGTAGGAGGACAACCAGAGAACAAGGCAGAAAGTTTCTTGAAGTTTTATGCCCTGGGAATGCATAGTCCTTTCACAGGAGATGTATTTTCTGCGTTTCACTGCAAGAGCAACATGTTATACATAAACATTTGGTTTAGCTTAAAACACTCTTGACTCCGAATGTCTGTACTGGCTGTTGCTAGTAATGTAGAATTTCTTTCATGAAAAAATGCAGAAGATATTGTCTAAATTTAGGCAATTTCACATCGTGCACTAACACCCTGCTTTGGGGTCCAGCTGAAAAATTCTCAGAGCAAAGTAGAGAGGAGTTGAATGGCTGCAAGAGTTTTTCAAGGGAAACTTTGCCACTCTACGTGTAGTGGGATGCTTAGATAACGGTACTTGATGCTGATTGCCTTGCTGTCTTAATAATCATTCCTTATTCAGTGATTACATCCAGTATTTTTTCCTCCCRGGTCATTTCATAGCACAAATTGTGATGAGTTCCCCAAGAGGCCATTTCAACCTCAGTGGTTACGACTCTGACCGTGTAAGGCCGTGCTTGAATGAAGGCCATGAATAGCAACACAGGTTAGTAAACCTTTGGGACAAAGTTTGTCCAAGAATCTTGGTAACAACTACTTAAATATACACCATGCTAAAATGCATTTTCTTGGAAATATAGGCCTGGATACAGAATGCCATGGAATTCATTTAGTTGCTGCTGAACATTTGTAGCTGGAATGTTCTTTATGCTTTGAAGGCTTGGTCCTATCTCTCCCTTTGATGGCTTTCTGCAGCACRGAAGCCAAGGCAGCCGTTCTAGGAAATGTGCTGTTCACAGCAATGTACTTGGGCTGCAAAAGTCTCAGCTTGAAGAAGTGTTGCAATGACTTTGTAGTTCCAGCTGCAAGTATCCAACCCCAAATAGATGGATAGAATTAGTATTACTATTTCAAAGTGAGGACTTATCTTTAAAAGTACATTGCTTCATAGGTAACCAGAGGCTTAAAAGAAATCAGGGAAATAATTTTGATATTTTCTCCTGATATTGTATTAAAGTAGAGACTGAGCAGTGTGAACCCATCCCTTGCTATATTTTCTGAACACTGTCCATTGTTCACAGTGGAGGTATAGCCAGAGTCCTCTGCATGCAATAACTGTTTGTTTCCATCATTTTCATCCTGCAAGCTCAAGTTACTGTGATTTAATGTTACTTCTGTTCAAAGCCAGGCAACAGATGGCCCCTGACCTCTCATTGCCGGGTAGAAACTGTGCAGCAGGGCTGCTCAGCTGGCATGGCATGACTTGTTCTGCAGTGATGCTTTACTTGCTCTGCTTCACCTTTTTGTAATGTATTGAACCTTTGAAATCCTTCCTCCTCCTTACAGAAAAGGAGGAATTGCTGGTTATGTCCYTTCTCTTTGCAGGCTGCTGTGCATGGACCTAATTTTCGCCTGGTACATGTTGCTTTGCAGACCTATGTTGTTCACAGGACTTGATTTTGATTCTGCTCCATCTCATCAGAGGTAAATGGTTTTAATCAGAATCTCTTAAGCTCGCTTTATTCAGTGGTAAGCCTATATAAGATGCTGAAGAACACACAGTGGTTTTGCACAGGCAAGGAAGCGGACTAAATGAAGGAGGGAATTTTAGCTCCTAGCTAAATAGGAATTTAGCTAGGAATTTAGCTATAGGAATAAAGCTCCTAGGAGCTTTATTCTCTATAAATGGAAGCTAGGCAAAGAAATACAATCTATCTGTCCGCTCTGAAATGTGCTTATTGATTTCTGCACTCATATGGTAATAGTTCTCACAAATCACCTAATTGAGATCCTTAATGAAAGGTGACTTAAGCAGCACTAAATTTTGCAATTGTCCCCCAATGGATAGTAGCTGATCAAACCTGGTATTCCTTTTTAACCAATTATAAATCTTTAAATGCATTATACCGAGTGACTGAACTAATGAATTTCACCCCATCACTTGCTGCTCTCATTTGTCTTTTACCAGAGGTGTTTGTAAGGCCGAGTAGATGTTGGTGTTATTGTCCCCTGCCTCAGAGGTGCTTTTTGCTGGCCCCAGACAAGAGTTTTTTCCTCTGTAGAAATAACAGATCTGAAAGGGCAGATGTGAAGGTGGAGCCTTCTTCATATCTTGGCATATCTTCATTTCCTAGTTTGCATGTGTGACTTTCTGCCTTTGTTTTCCAGTTCTCACTGGTASGAGGGAACTCTCTGAAGTCTTACTGAAGGTACAGAAAATCAGCACACTTTCTCCACTCAACTTCCAATATCCAACTAAAGGCTTTTAGCTGATTATCTCGAGTCTCTTCTCACTAATGACTTTCCAGTTTCTTGACGTTGAGCAAAATCAGCGGATAACTCTCTCTATTAGATATAATTATCTAATGTATATTGAGCTTGAGAAATTATTCAGTTAATTTTGTCTTTAGTCTTCTATTTCCTGTTAGGGATTTGAAGCGTAAGCCTGCAATTCTCTCTTAATTACTGCATCCTGTTGATTTCTTTTTCTATTTCTTAAAGATAAGCATATGCTTAAATGAGAGCCTTTGAAAGAGGAGAATAAAGTCTTCATCAKAAAGTATTTGTGTCTGGGTGTACAAATATCACTTGCTAAAGCAAACCTGATTTCCAGTTGAAAATTCACCACTGATTTAGCAGTTGCTTGCAGAGGTGGCACTGGGGGTGAGGGGTTGTTTCCACTCACGTGAACAGGCAAAGAGTCTTCCTCTTAATTACATTTCAATGCTGTCTCTCCATCCTCATGATGATGTTCAAGTGGAGYTCCACTAATAGGCATGATCATACCCCATGCTTAGACATTTTGGAGCTGTTTTAACACTTAACAACTGTCCACCTGATCAAAAAGAAGCTGTTAATATGYGAGGACATCCAAGGCAGGGGTTTTGCTGAGGGTTTTGAGGTTGCAAACTTGCCCGCCTGCCTATTGAGCRCCTTTGGTGCAGGACTGGAGCCTGGGATGGCTGTCTGTTTTGCAGCTGTCTTGCTGCCTTATGGCAGTTACAGTCTCTTGGCTTTTTAAGACCCCTATAAACACTTTAAAGCATTTCTCTTTTCACAGAGAAGATCTCCACTACAATATTCTTGCTTGCTTTGGTAGCAAAGCTTGTTATTGGTGCAAACACTAAGTGTCTCTACACTGTCTTTTGGATTTTGTCACAGGGCTGACAGAGGRCTGGACATTTTGCCTTCGGTGAAACTAATTGCACTAACCCAGTGGGAGTGGGTTAGYTGATTGGTTGTTTTTTTTCCTGAAACAGTAGTTACCAAAAACTTTGATCTCTTAGGATAGTAAATAGTTTGGAATGGACTTTTGTCCTTGGATAWTATTTTATTTTGACTAGAGCTTTTGTTTTTTCTTTTATTCTAAACAGAACTTGTTACTACATGTTCATGATTTYAGATAATCAACAAAAATATTCAGTTTACTCAACCGAGAAAGTAGCCTGGATTTCACTCCTGGATTTCCTTCCCTTGTTTGTCCTTGATGTCTCCTGCCCCCTTTTCATGAGCACTAGCTTTATAGTGTAGCAGTATGAAAGCAAGGATGCACCAAATTCTTCTAGTTTGATATTTCCATTGCAATTTTAGCCTGAATGGTACTTGACAGCTCTCCCTATGCCTCCAGAGACTCATTAAAACTGGGTAACTATGAAGTATAGCCAAATGAGTTCTATTCAAACAACTTAATGGATATGTGGAATGTGAAATGGTTAAATAGCTTCTTGTAAAGAAGTTCCTCTAACTAGGAACCTTGTGAAAACTTTAAATATGTATTCATTTATTAAATCAACTCTGAAGACATAACTGCCAGTAATCATGCAGCATGCAATTAAGAGAGACTGCACAGATTTTTTGGCTTGTGGCAATGGCAGTAATGCATTTATGATTTTAAAGCAGAGAGATAGGAATATTGTAATGATTCAGGATATGTACTGGCTGAGCAATGGAGCTGCTTCCACTGGGTCCAGCTAACATGTAACCCAGTCTAACCCTCCTTCTCCTGGAGCTTTGCACAGAGCTCAGCTTTTCATCTTCCTCTAGCAGGAAGGATCCATCCCAAGTTTCTGGAAAGCCAAAAGCACACAGTGCATGTAACTAAGTTAAAAGTTGAGTGTGTACATTTGTCCAAGCAGTGGAGTTAGCAATCACACAACCGTTTGCTATTCTCGTTGAGTTCAGACACCACTGAAATATTTCAGTTTTTGGATATTTTCCGTCTGCCTTTAATTGCAAGGTTTTTTTCTGTCAAGTGACAGAGAGGAAAGAAGAGCTGTTCTGAATCCCCAGGCAGGCCTGCTTCAATCTGGACTCATAATTTTAGCTCTATTCAGAAACACGTATTTGCCATGGTTTTATTTTAAGGCCCGCCTTGCAGAGGTGACAGACTAAAGCTGCAGGAGCCCTGACACTGAGAAGGAAATCATACCTCTCTCCCYGGCTGCTAGATCAAATGGAGACGTCACGCAGAAGGTCAAGACAACCTCAGCAACACGTTCAGCGCAGACACCTCCCCTCCAGCAGATCCAAGGCTGCCAGACTAAGTGCCTAACTGGTGTGCCAAAAGGCCAGATGCATCTCATAAACGTCTTGGCATCTGGGCCCACCAGGAGCCCCTCCTGGTGAGGAGCCACGGTGGAGAGCGTGCCAGCACCAGACTGAATGTTTCTGCATCGCCGGCAGGTTTCCCTAATTCGCTCTTACATATAAAATCAAACAGGAAAATATTTAATTTGACAGGGCAAACAAATGGTGCTTTACTCTAGAAATGATACTTTAAGCATATGATAGCCATCTGCCTGTTCCTCTCTGTGATTGTTAGGGAGTTATAATTGGACACGCGCTTTTGACACCTACAGAGACTATCTGGCGTTGCCACTAGACGATTTTAGGTGGGATTGAGTGCTTAGGAGTGTGAATTTTCACTTGGCTGTTATCCAGGCAGCCCTGTTAAAGATCACCAAGTGGTCATAGATAAAAATGGTTAACAAAGGTGCTGCTGCGGTTAAAATAAAATGAGCAGATTGGACACGTTTTGTKCTTACACCTATTGATGTGGTCTCCCTGCTGTCAGGACCAGGTAGCAAACTTTCTGATGTGAACTTTCCCCCTACTTGATTCAATTAAGCCCCATCTGAGGACAGA